GGGATGGGATGGGATGGGATGGGATGGGATGGGATGGGATAGCTCCCGCTCTGCAGCTCGGCACTGCGCACAGCCTTGCAAAGCCCCACAGCTCAGCACCCAGCACCAAACAGCCCCTTCCAAGCTACCAATCAGGAAAAAAGTGGTTCCACCCAACGGAGAAGGACAGTGGGTTTATTCTAGTGCAACATCCACCAACTCCTTCACAAAACACCCTCATCCTCTCCGGCAAGCGAGCTCCAGGCTCCTTTCTGCCAGCCAGAGCTGGGCTGGGGGCTGCCGGCGGCCGGGGGCTGGTTTGGCTCCAGGCTGAGCTCCGTGCCGGCTGGCTGGGAGCTACCCCCTCCCTGCAAGCCCCCTGCGGGGCTGCGCCAGCCTTACGCTGGCAAGGAACAGCCTGCTCGTGTTTACTGGCACCCTTTACATATTTCATTTCTCTTGCCTAGTTTTCTTGGCAAATTCTTGCAGGGTGAAGCTGTTTAATAATATTTTCGGCGGCGTGCAGGCTGCTGGAGAAACACAGCCAAAACACTTTCCCTGCCTCTCTGGATTTGCCACTTCAGGCCAGCCTAAGGGAAAGTTATGACCTGAAATCTTGAGTATTTATTTAGCAATGAGATGGCCTGGTTAACTGCAGGGGATGGGGACTTGAGCTGCCAGGCGGGATGATGACAGGCCGGTGACAACCGTGCCCCTCAAAAACAGAGGTGGGAGCTGGTGGGCACTGATCCATCCCCTCCAGGCACAAAGGAGATGTTTGAGGAGCCAGCTACAACCCACGGGGAGCGAGAAACACGTTTGGGACCTAATACTTTGCCATTTTACAGCACAGAAGACACGAAATCAGTGGGGAAGCCCTTGGCCCCAGGCCAACCGCAGGCAGGCACCTCGTTCTTGGCTCCAAGTGCCCGTCCCACGGTGTGTTTGGGACAGTCCGTCCTGCCAAGGAGGGAAAAAACTCTCCCTAACATCCCTCGCCGCCTGCTCTGCCTTTTTTTTTTTTTCTTTTCTCTAACTCATTTTTTTCAGTGGGGTTCTGGAGACATCTGATGAGGGTGAAATGGGGAGGTGAAGGGGAAGGACTCCCTGGCTGATCTCCTCTCCCCAGGCGCTCCCGGGGAGTCCCATCCTGTGGGGTGTGGGCACATTCCCTAATCCCGAAAAACCTGCCCATCTCCCTGCTGTCACACCAAGAGTCAAGGAGAGGACCGTGCAAAAGCCAAAGTGCTTTTGGCATCCTGGATGGGGACGATGCCCACCCAGCCAGGACCTCTCAGCCCCCACATCCCTGCCCGACCAGGGAGATCGAGGGGAGGGGGAGCCTTGTTCTTGTTCCACCACTAATTAACAGCCACAATTACCAGCCTGGCCAAGCACTCCCACTAATTGTTGCTTTACAATGTTTTGCACAGCAGCTGCTGAATCAACAGGAGCAGCTGCCTGGGCGAGCCGAAACCCCCGTGTGAGGCGAGGGCGAGGGTGCTGCTGGCCCCGGGGAAACGCCTGCCGGTACCCAGGGCTGCCACATCCCCACAACGCGGCCACAGAGTGGGTGTTTTGGTGAGCCCACTCCATCAGCTGGAAATACTCCTCCAACCTCCCTAAAGCAGGTCAGGACCAAAAAAAACAAGGAGCTATTGCTCTCACGTCAGCTCCTGCTGCTCTGACCCAACAGCCCTTGAAATAAAGCAATAAGGTCTGGCAGGACAGGCTGGCCCGAGCCTGGCGAGGGGGCTGTGCCGGAATGCCGGGAGTGGTGCTGAGGGCAGGGGTCCCAGCACGACCCTACGAGCTGGGGAAGGGTGATGTTGAGGCCCTGTCAGCCTTAAAGCAAGTGCTGCAGCCGGCTCGTGTCCGCGTGGGCAGCTCCACACCGAGCGCAGAGGCATCTCCGGGAAGAGCAGCGATGCCCGGCTGCCCTCTGGGATGGCAAAAGGGGATTTTTCAGGTGCTGCTGTTCGGCACAGAGGGTGAGAGGGTGCCCGGGCTCCCTGTGCCACCAGTCGCCTCGTTATTTGGGGGGGATTCAGCTCAATCCCAAATCCTCTGCTTTTAACTGAAAGGAGAAGGCTCTGTGCAGCCACGGGTGACTCATTTGCAGGGCACGGGCCGGGCCGCCTCTCCAGCCCGCCTCTCCCTCCGCGAAGTAACTACCGAGACTACTAATAATAGTTACAAACCAAAAATAGAATTCTTTTTTTTTTCTCTTTTTTTTTTTTTTCTTCTCTTTTTCAAAAACTCCATCCTCTGAAAATAGCCAGCTGCAATCCGGCAAGTTCAACCACTCCCCTCGGCTTGTCCAAACCCCACTGCCCCAAGGGCTGGGACCGTCCCCATCCCTGCACGCACGCAGGGTGATGCCAAGCCCAGCCGGCGGCTCACCCCAAAACTCATGGCACGGCGGGGGCCGGGGCAGAGGTGCGAGCCAGGGCGGCGGGTGGCAAGCTCTCTCCGCTCCCACTTCTCTACATCTAGCGCAGGGGACCAGCGAGCAGGTCTTGAGATGCAGCAGTGACAGCAAACAGACAAGGGAGAAGGTGACGAGGAGGCAAGGACGGCAGGGGGTCGCCCCAGATCAGACGGTGCCTCCAGCGCTGGGGAGAGGAGGGAGGGATGGGCTGGGGCGGCAGCGGAGGAAAGCAGAGGAAGGGTCCCTGCGAGACCCCGGCCGGGCGAGGGACTGACCCAGCAGCAGTTCTCTAAGTCATTTGATGGGGCGCTTCCAGCATTTCCATCAAGAAGGTATCAATTGGTGTGTCGCCTATTAGCTTGAAGAAGAAGAGGTGCTCCAGGCATTTCAGGCCGATGGACCGGAGGGCTGGGAGACGGAGCAAGAGCTTTGCAAACCTGGGGGCAGGAGACAGGACACGGTCAGACATCCCCACCAGCAGCCCTGCTTCTGCCCTGACCCCCAAAGCTACTCTGGCTGCTCCTGCTCAGAAGGGCTGGGAGTCAGACACAAGCTCTTTTCCTACCAAAGTCATGGGGGTACCCTCAGAGCTGTGTTGAGAAATCATTAATGATGTTCCCAGCCTAGAAGATGAGGCAGCCACAGTGCACATTCACAACAAATGTGCTGACAGCTGAGCCGGAAGAATAAAATAAGAAATGAAAGGCCGTCTCTGGACTGGGATGTACCACCGGCTTCATGCGTCTGTGTCATACATGTGCATTACTGTTCCGTGAGTACCCCAAGATGCTCGTGGGGTCCCTACACCACAGCCACAGGGAGGAAGTGCCACGGATCATAGAATCATCGAATGGTTTGGGTTGGAAGGGACCTTAAAGATCATCCAGTCTCAACCCCCTGCCTCAGGCAGGGCCACCTTCCACTAGCCCAGGTTGCCCAAAGCCCCGTCCAACCTGGCCTTGAACCCTGCCAGGGAGGGGGCAGCCACAGCTGCTCTGGGCAGCCTGTGCCAGGGCCTCGCCCCCCTCACAGGGAAGAAGCCTTGGTGCAGGCAGTGGTGCAGGAGCCCCAGCAGCCGATACATGGTCAGGGAAAAGGACAAGTAGCCGGGAAGGGGATGGAGAAGATGCTGAGTGGGGTTAGCTGGCTCTTGGCTCGTCAATGCCCCTTTCCTACAGGCACCAGGGCACCTCCCAGGCAGCTCCCCCAGCCATCCCTGGGGCTGCTGGTGCGGCAGAAACCCCGCTGACAGCCAGGCTGGGGGCACCCTGGGGATGAAGCCAACGGAGGAGACAAGGGCTTTGATGCAAAAGCTGGAAGAAGCACTGCAACTCAGCTGGGACACGGGGTGCTCCCCTTCTCCCTGCCCAACGCGGGGCTCCGACGAGGACCAGCCTAACAAAAGCCCTTTCTCCCCAGCCTGCCCTGCCCATGCAGACGCTTGTCAGGTCGCACCCTCGATGCCGGCAAGAGCTGACAGGCAGGAGGGCTGCGCAGCCAGGCAGGGGAGAGCCAGGGGGGCTGGGGAGAGCCGACAGAGCTGCAGGAGCCGGCCGGGGCGAAGGAGACGAGCCCAAGGGCCACCCGGCCGTGCTGGGGAAAGGCTGCTGTGTGCTGGGCTCCAAGGCTGGCAAGAGGCTGCAGAAACCAGCTCCTGCAAGGGTGCTCTGGAGCACCCCGCGGTGCCACCCGGGGTGCCCCCATCCTGCCTGCCCACGCCCCTGGGGTGCAGGCAGCAAGCCCAGGCGCTGCGGGATGTTGCCTTCCCGCTCTCAAAACGAGGAAAAGGCCCTTTAATGGTCGGGAGCGCATTTATTTGTTTTTACTGCTGCACAATCAGGGCTTTAACATAAGCAAAGGCCGGAACCAGCCCAGGGAGAAGGGGACTCTCTAGAAAACACACACATAGAGAGAGAGACATGCACAAACATACAGATATTATACATGGATGCACACTTCTCTCTCCCTATTTTTTTTTTTTTTTTTTTTTTTTTTTTTTTCAGTCCTACCATCCCATTCAGGAAGTTTCACTTTAAACCAAACCAGATGATGGCTCCAGCCCTTGGATACGTTTAACTGTGAGATAACCAGCCCGCAGCACAACTGTGCCAGGGCTGCGGCTGGGAGGGGAGAAAATAGCCCCAAAATAGCCCCGATTCCCTGCGGCTGCTCGGTGTCACGTACGCACTGTGTCTGTCGTGTGTGTCCCCCCCCCCAGCAGAGAAGCAGGGGCTGGCATGGGGGGAGCACAGCTGGGTTTCCTAGGAATGCCTCCCTCCGTCTCGGCGCTGCAGAGAAGTTCCCTTTTGGTGTTTACATGGTGCTCACAAGCTCTCGGTGGCCGGGGACTGGGCTGAAGTCACACGCCAAAGGGCATCTGAAGGGGGGGGGGGGAGGAAGCCAAGCGTTCGCCGCAGCGTGGAGCAGGGGAGGGCTGCTCCCACCACGGGATCGACCAGGCGTTTGCTCAGCCACAGGAAGAACTTGTTTCCAGGCCCAGATGGTGATCACATTGTGCCATGAGACCAGGAGGATGGAGAGAGCTTCTGGGAGCTTCGTTTAGCTCTTGTGCAACTCTGGACTCCCAGCCCACGAGTTAACCCTCCCAAGCCACCTGGGCTTATTCCACCATTGCCCTGCACCACAGAAGAGATGGAGTAAGGTCAGCAATGCCCGGTCACGGTTCTCAGAACAGCCTTAAGCGTACAAAAATCTTTAAATTCACCAAGAAAGGTGTGAGGATCACACAAGGAAGTCCCCAGCACAAGGTCATTCAAAGCCAGTGAGAGATCAGAGCTCCTGGTGCAGGCTACCGAACCTAAAATGCTCCCTTACACATCACTGCTCGTTGAGGTAGAGCCCTGGGGAACTGATTTTGCTGGTGGCTCAGCGACTTTGCTCAGTCACGCACAGCAGCTTCGTGGTGGTTTGGTCGATGAGGAGCGGGGCTGTCCCCACGCCAGCCCCAGCCCAGCCTGCAGCAGAAAGCAGCAGCGTGCGAGGGCAGCACGGCTCAGCTGCCGACACTGGATGCCTGTGCAAAGCAGAGTTCATCCCACCGGGGGAATAATCCAGGATTGGCCATGATTCCCAAGGCAGTTCTCCTTGTGCCAGGTACGGCTGGCTGCTCGTTGTGAGCCCCAAGGCGAGCAGAGCTCTTCTGAAACACCAGAACAGCCAAAATCCAGGGTCTGGGTCTGGATTTGCTTAGGAACTGCAATTTAATAATGCTTTTTGGAAGAGGAGTTGGCTTGAGAGTTGGCCTGAGGTCCACAGAAACCACCCGGGAGAGGAGAGGTAATCACCCCTGCTCTGTGCACTGTGCTCATCCCCCGCTTCCCCTCCTCACCGCAGAGGCAAACACACCCAACGGGACCTTCATCCCACCTCTCCTGCCACAAGCCAACCATGAACGTCCAAGAAGCCCCTTAACAATGCATCTTTTTCCATCTGCCAGCTACCCAAAGGGGGGAAAAATAAGTCCAATATTACTTCTGAGGCCGTCATCTGCCCACTGCATTCACTGCTGTAAAAGCATTCTTTTTTTTCATTTAACCATCCAGACACGCAAGACCGGGAATGCAGGTGAGATGTAAATCCCAGTGGCTTGGGCTGTTTTTCCCAATATTCACGCCTCAGCAGTGATACGCAACAGCAGCAGTTTCCAGCGTTTTGCTTGGTTTCTCAAATGGCTGTCAGTAACTTAACTGGCAGTTGCCAGCTTCAGGCTGTAACTGGGAAAATGCGCCCACTCAGCTCCAGAGCGGTCCAGGAAAGCATTCCTAATTCCCCCTCCCATTCCCAGCTGGATTGGGGGAGGCGGGGAGGGGAGAAAAGAGCATCAATTGAGGCTTTCACTTCCCAGCAATGATGCTCATCTGCCACCGAAAATTAACTCCGTGTGAGTCTTATTTTCACTGTGGTTTGCTCTCCGTGGTTGCCAAAAGGGAAATGATACCCCTTCCCCCGTGTGCTCAACCCACTGCTGCAGCCGCAGGAGCCGGGCTCCTCGGGTCCCAGCACCGCCGTTACTGCCCGACCTTGTCCTGGCTGCATCACCTTTACTGGCACGAGGGAAAAAAAAACCTCTCTGCACTTCACAGGGGGATTTTCTAAGGATGTTCACAGCTGAAGCAGGTAGAAATGAGTGGTTTTCTCAGCAGAGTTCGCTCCCAGAAGGTGAGGGAACAGAGAGCCCTAAACGGAAGGGACCCAGCACCTGCACACAGGTGCAGTGACCCCGAGGATGACACTCGGACCCTGCCCCGGGCTGCAGCACCCACTGCACGGGGCTCTGCAGGGCCGTGAGGGTGCAGGAGAACAGGGCACAGCCAGCAACTCACCTCCCGGGCTGGTCGGGGTATTTGTGTTTGCAGTATGCCTCTAGCGACGCGTACACCTTCTCCCGTAACGCCTCCACTTCAGCCGGGTTGGAGAGACCTTTCGAGTCTGAAAGGCAACGAAAGGACCATCAGTCAAAAACCTCCAGGCTTTCCAGGCAGGCAAAGACCCCCCTGCGCACCCCCCAACGCCCCCTCCATCCCTCCCAGGACACAGCGTGGACGTGGGGCCTGAACCCCAGGAATTTGGGGCAGGACCTAACACCTCCCGGGGAGCATTCAAGCCCTGAAAGCTTTGCTCTACGATTCCAGATCTGTTTTACCCCACCTCATACCCCAACCCCAAGTGTTTTGGCACATTCCAGTGGTCACAGAGGCTCATTTAAAGGATTTAAGTCCCCCTCAAGTCCTGGGCTCGTGGGATTTCTCCCTCCAGCACAAAGCACTGCGACAGGGCTAAAGGAAAAGCCCCTGCTCTGGCAGGTCCCCTGCAACACGGCAAGGATCTGTTTTTAGTAGGGTGAAAGGGACAGTCAAGCAATTGATATCCCCAAGCACATGTGCCACGGGAACCTCTCCAGATTCCCCTTCTTTTACCATATACGGCTAATCCCAAATTACAGACAATAAATTACTGGTGATTACAAGGCGAGGGGAGAAAAAAAAAAACAAAAAAAAAAAAGTCAAGCAGAAAAACAAACCCAAGAAACAGCAATAAACCCTGCTGAAATGCCCTGGCCTGGGTTCGGTGGGAAAGGCCAGAGAAAGAGCCATGCTTGGGCACAAACCATGCTCCTGCGAGGGCAGGGAGGGGTGGCTGCAGATGTGGAGGTCTGTCCTCGGCTGCCATCTGCTTCTACTCTGGACTGGCCGGCTCTAAAATCTGAGGAACCCCCCAAGAGAGCCGTACAGGTATCGGCAGGCTGGCAGTCTATCTCCTGCTTTGTTCTCTGACACACTGGAGACAACCCCCAGCACTGAACCTTCTTCCTTCCTTGGGCAGCTGGGACCAAGGGGGAAACATGAGCAGCAAGAAGCCTCCTGGAGTCTGTAAAACTAAGCAAGCTTCTGACAAGAAGTACAGTTCTGGTGTATGCTGTGAGCAGGTTTCATGCCCTTCACCCTCTGCAGGCTCTGCAGAGGGCTCTTCCAGAAATACACTTAATAAAAGCCCTTGGATGTTGAGATCAGAAAAGAGAGGACAACAAGGTCCATGCTCTAACTTTGCTCTAACCCATATTTTTGTCCTGAAGGATATTTAGATTCCTTTTTGCTCCTATTCAGGGACAACTGCCTCAAGCACCAGAACTTTACTTTTACAGAGTCAGCAGAAACACTGAAAACAGGACTGCGTACATTGATCAAACCAAAGCCCCTCAAGCTCAACAGACAGCTCAGCCCATCAGTAGGAGTCAGCTCCCAAAGCAGGACTTGCCATCGCCTCAGAGAATTGCAGCCAAGTCCTGGCCAAGGCTGGACTCTGTATGGGCAATATTTTGGACCATGAAACTGTTCTGCCCTCTACGAACGGGAAAACACTTCTTGGAAAGTGAGACCTAGAGAGCAACCCTGGGCATGAATCCAGAGCCGTCCCTGACCTGCAAAGGACACGCTTGTAAGGTGGCAGATGCAGGTGCAGCACTTAGTTTGACTTTCATTCCTGCCTCTCTTCCTTCTTGCCCTGTCCTCAGGAGTTGGGTGCCCTCGGTTATTTGCAATGGAGCTTTATAGGTAAGAAGAGGAACCAAAGGGACAAGCATCAGCCAAGAGAGGATAGGAGAGAAGGTAACGGCATGTACCAGGGTTGAAGAGGACAATGGCTCGCAGGCAGCCTAGCTCTGTCTTGTCCATCTGCATGTCTCGCATCTTTGACACGAGTTCTGTCAGTACTCTGCAAAGGACAGAGAAATCACAGGCGTCAGCGTTAAAAAGAAATGAAAAAACACCCAGGTGTCAGACCCAGAGCGAGGTCCTCTGGTGTGTGGTTAATGAAGTCATGGGATAGTGCTCGCTTTACCAGCTGAGGATATGCCCTCATTTTCCTCCTGTATCAAAAATAGCTCATTAGGAACATCGATAGTTCCTGTGAGATGCAACAGGGACCATAAAATCTGGCTTCATACATTCACTGAAAGGCTTTGGCACCCGAGAAAGCTGCCTAAAAATAAAAAATAATAATAACAACAACAAAAAAAACCCACCCCAACAGGTATCTAAAAGCAATTTCCTCTGCCGGTAATTTTTATTACTCCCTTTGCTCTTACTGCAGGTGCCGGTCTTGAAATATTTTTCACTGATTGCCCAGTTTTTCCTGTTAGATCCTGCAGTGAAGTCATGATCTTGCACTTATGACCTCACAGGAAACTAACGATGTCACCCAGGTCCAAAGAAAAATTTCCTTGCAAAGCAAAGAAGCAAAGGTGATTTTGGTTTCAAGTGAGTCGTCTCAAGATGAGTCTCGGGCAGAGAAATCAGCCACCGTTTAAGCGGCGTCTGGAGCCACACTGCGGGTCCAACACCCTGGAAGTCTGGCTTTAAAACACTTTCCCGAAGCATGAGATTAAAGAGCCCTCGGGATACGCATGTGGAACCTGCTGGGTATTTTTGGTGCTTTTTCATTGTGAAAATAAAATCATGTCTTGGTCCAATTAAAGATGAAAAGAAATACAGGAGTGGCCTGCTCGTAACATTAGAAGGCATCTGGACCCCATGAAAGAGGCTTTGATTTGCACTGGGCAGCCCTCTCCCTGACTATTTTGGGCTGTTGGTTTCTGCAGGTTTAAGAGGAGAGATTTAATGTCATCGCCTGCAGCAAGGACCATGACATTTTCATGCAGGCCGTGGGATGGACACGCCTCAGTCCGGGCTTCTCCGACCACCAGCCCATGTGCCAACGCATCTCCACCCCACCCCTCGGGCAAGCTGCAACGTGGGGAACGGAGGCAGAGGGGTGCAGAGACAGAGATGGGGGATGTCTAAGCAAGGTGGCCGGAGCCGTGGTCCCCACCACCCATCCCTCCCCCTGCCCACCTGTCGAAGATGGCCCCGACGCCAGCGCTGTGCGCGCTGTTCCGGTGCACGTGGAGCCCCGTGGCTAAGAGGATCCCGTCTTTGACGGCGATGGAGCGGTGCGAGAAGGAGGCGATTAGGAGCTCGTTCCACCCTGGGGAGGAGAAAAGAACCAAGGCTGCAGGTTAGAGCCACAGGGTCCTCAGCAGGTTTGGCAATCAGCAAAGTCACCCCCTCAGCGCTAAAAAGAGAGGAGGAAACCACTCAAGAACCGTCTTTGGTAGAGTAACGAGGCTAGACGTGGGAAGGGAGCAGGGATCCAACCCTTTCTTGCATGTCAGGGAAGGAAAAAACCGTTAAGGAACAAATGCACTAAAAATATAACACTAATAAGGGAAGCAGTTTCCTCTATAAACCTTCCAGGCACCAGAGCAAACAGCTCACTGCCCTGCTCCTCTGTGAACCTACGAGTGGGTGTGGAGCCCTGCTTTCCCCCTCTGACCTTATACCAGTGCCTCTGAGCAGTTAAAGACCTATTAGTGCTTTGTATCAGCTAATTGGGCTCATTTTCAGGCCACGATGGGGCACAAAAGTTCATTCACCCTTATTCAGCTGTGTAAATGGGGACCAAGAAAACTCTTGCTTGCAGGTTTTTTGCTTCTGCCACAGAAATACTGGGAGGGATTGCCTCTCCTCTGGCTGTACTGGGATGTCCATCGTCCATGACTGCTCCACTAACAGCTTTCCATAGCTGCGTGGAAATTTTGTATTACTAGTTAACTGGCCATGCTACTTCGGGAGAGAGCAAACACATCCTCCGAGCCCGGACACCACGGGAGCAGTGTGAGCTAGTCACAAATGGGGAAGGGAAGGGAGATGCGACCTCCCTCCCCACCTTCCAGCTCCCCCTCGTGATTTAACACTTCTTCAAATTCTTAAACCCATTACTGGTTGAGTTCAAAAATGTCTGAAACAAACCCATAACAAGAAAAAAAATGCTGTAAAGTTCGCAGGGTGGAAATTTTGGTGACTTTCCACCAGGACAAACATCTTCACTAAAACAAGATGAGTCTTCTGCAACACCTGTGGCTGATGTACCTGGCTTGAAAATGTTCTGGGGTCCAGAACACAGGGGTGCTTGGCAGGGTCCGTAAACATCAAGATATTTTGATTTTTTATCTTTTTTCCCAGATTGGAAAAGCAAACAACATTGTTCGCCCCCCCTCCTGCCACAGAAACAAGTCTTTTCTCACTGACTGGAATAAACACAAGGTCCATGTGTGCTGTATTTACCCACTGTTGCAGAGATGGGTTGTGCCACAAGAAATGTTGACAAGGAATAAAGTTCACTCTTTCCTAAGTGGCCACAGGATGTTTCCACCCCAATCACGGGAACATTTATTTGGCTATTTACTGGGCGAGGCCTGGCACTTGCGGAGGGATTGCAACACTGTGAAACCCAAGGAGGACGGGGGAGAAGCCGTGGGACTGCCCCAGGAGCCTGCTGGAACCACGCTCCGTGGCTGAAGGGGCCCTCATAGAGCCAGACCCACAGAAAGGTGCCGTGGGTGCCTCCCACCAGCCGTCCCACGCAGACCCACAGCAACTCCACAGGCAGCCCCTCCACAGAGCTCCAACCAACACAGAGCAAAGCTGGTCCACAACGTCCCTCCAAGGCACCAGCTTTCACAACTCTGCCCTTGGCCATCACCCAACACCCCTCTGCCACCGCTCCGCACAGCCCCAGCGATGCCGAATCCAGCCTCCAGCTTGCCAGAAATATGTGAAAATGGTGAGGCTGCAGGGTGCTGCCAACATCTGCGCTGGGCTTATTCCAGCTAAGGAGCGCTGGATTAATCACCATCCTTCAGCTGAACCATTCCCATTTAGAGCTGGGCTGAAATGGGGAACTTATTTCACCAGAGCATCCCCAAAGAGCTGACAAGATAAGCAGGGAAGCAGGAAAAATTAGGCAGCAAATCTGAGTTAGAGAACAAACAAGTCTACCCAAAGAGTTTTGCATCTCAGCCCAAGCTCTGGAGAGAAGCAGAGGAGATATCTTTGACTCTCGTGACTCCCTTCTCATCAGACAAGGAGGCTGCAGCTGCCGGGAATGGCTCCTCGGGGGTAGGGAAGGCACCTGGCAGTGCGGTGACCACCGTGTTAATCCATCTCACTACCAAGTTTCCCCACCAGCCCTACAAAATGAGCTGCAGCTGCAGATGTAGTGCTCAGCATCCTTTGCCAGGCTGGCCTTGATGTAGAGAAAACATCAGGTTATTCCCGTCTCAGCCACAGCAAGCTTGGAAACACGAAAATCCAGGGAAAACAGGTTTGAAAAGTTGAGTTTTCTTCTCCAAAAAAGCTCAGAGGGGGAAAATTTTTAAATGATTCAGGATGAGAGGAAAACTACTGCCAGCCCATCCAGCACCGCTCCTCCAAAGATGCGTGCTCCACTTAATTTTGCCTCCGAGGATGCATGACTGAACCTGACGCTCTTAGCTAAATTTTAATACTTAAATATTTCATGGGCAGCTGTTCTCAGCAGGCCGCTCTCCCCACTCAATAATAGATAGAGCCACTGGTTAAAAGACTTGGGAGGGGTTATCTGAGGCCCTGACAGAGACGCTTGGAGCACGGACCCCATCGGAGCCGCTCCAGGCGCTCAGCCCGCCTCATGGCCATGGGGTTAGAGCCACCATGAAATCTGGGATGCGATGGGTCCTGCAGCCCCCTCTCCTGCCCCCTGGAGTGACCCCTCCAGGATGCCAGCTCAGAACTTGTCATAAAAAGCACCAGCACGAAGGAGAGAACATCAGGCCAGAGTATCTCCGCTTTAGCTTTCGTTAGCCTTCTGTTAAAGAGAAAGGAAAAGCTTGAACTGTTGTTGTGGGGTTTGTTTCCACTTCGTGAAAGAAAAACGCAGCTTTTTTTCCTGAATCCAGTTCTTCCCTGAGATATTTGCAGAAAGCCCTCGAAGATTTCTACAGAGATGCTTCCCCTGCTCATCCACTCTCACAAGAGGCTCTAGAGACCCTCTTCAAAAATACACTTTTTGTATTTTCCAGAGAGTGTCCTGAGCCAGCTCTGGTAATCCTCACACCCACGGAAAAGTCAGAGGAGCATCTTCACCAAAGGGCTAGCAGGAGCCACCCAGGGAGGGCATGGGACTTGGCCAAGCCTGCAGCAAGTATAAAACCCCCAAATTCTCCATTCCCAGACTACTGCTGTAATCACTAGATGAAATGTGACTATAAAAATCCCCTTTCAGTAATACAAGAAGAGTGGAAAACCTACACCAGTAAATGGTGTGACCAGAAACCATCAAGGTCAAGGATTTCAGAGAGGTTGCAAGAGGCACTGGGTATTTGGATGTAGGGCCAAGGTACGCAGTTAGACTGCTTGATAGCCAATAAAAATCTGCAGAAAGTATTAAGATTCATGCATCTGGGCTACAGTCAGCCTTATTAAACAGACTGACAGCTAGTGTTTATGTGCTGGGAAGGGGGAAACACTGATCCCATCATCCTTCTACTCTGGAGCCCTTATACCTCCTCCTGAAGCCACCTAGACTGACCTTGGATCGGAAGAGTTGTGGCAGTTCCTATGTTTTGTGTTGACGTGAATACCTTGCACTTGGTTCTTAAAGCACTTTCCTGCCCCATTTCATGGGCATTTATTTTGGGGCACACACTTTCAACAGTAAGAAGCCAGGAACGCTGACATCAAGGTGGATCAGCAGCGTCTTGTCTACAGAGGCCATTAACCTGAGGCCAGAAGAGTGCAGATAAAGGAACACATGTTTTTCCCCTCTTGAATTCCCTACAAAAGTACGTTTTGAGCAAACAAGAGGAACTTTTAAAACTACGAGGGCCTTCAGAGTCCTTGGCTTGCTCGGGTTGGGCTGATGGGCTGCTTTGCCCCAGGTACGTCTCCAGCTCACCCTGCTCTGAGGCTGCACCTCTGCTCTGCCCCAGACTCCTCCACCATTCCCTTCTGAATTCCCTTGCCTACTTCGAGTAGCCAAGGTCGGTGTCTCTCATGGCCAAGCAGAGAGCTGGGTGCCACCACCAGCCACCAAGGCCTCCTCATTTCCTCTCCCAATCTCACCCTTCACATGGAGTTTGTAATTTGCTGGAAGGAGCTTCATGTGTCCCACTGACAACTTGCCTTCCTCTTTGCTTAAGGGAGCAAAACTCTCCACTCCTTCAAGCTAAAGCCTTTAAAAAGGCTTATCTGATGACTGGAGCTATGCAAAGAGCTTCATCCCTAAAATACACCCTTGTCGAGCTCTGCTCTTGATATCTTGCTCTCCTTGCTCTTTGTTCATAACCTGGCAGTAGTCGGGGCTTAATTTACTCGATGGAAGAAGTCCCTTTTCACAGTTAACTGCTTTTCACCTCCCAAAGCCTCCGTTCTTGCAGACCCCCTGCCACACAAGGAAATTTAAAGCAAGCCCAGATAATTTTATTTTCATCTTGGTGGGTGGGAGAAGGAGGTTGATATACTTTTCTCCCCTTTCTGGTTTTAATTATGATCAAACATCTCAGTTGGATGAAATTTCACGGAGTCCCAAGCCCACTTGATCTTTCAAGTCTCGGCTTGGGAGGAAGGCAGCACGTAGCTCCCTTGGTTTAAACCACCCGGTGCACATCTCCGAGCGCCTCGTTCATCAGAGATCTTCATCTGGGCCATTTTTCACCTGATTGGCAGCTAGAGCAACATTTTGGATCACATTCAGCAACGCATCCCTTGGGGCTTTTAAAATCCTATTTAGCAACTGAATTATCAGAGGTTATTACTCAGAATCAGCTAACAGCTTTCAAGTTGCCGGGGACCTAAATCTACGTGTAATACCTGTCACGGGTGAGATGCAGCATTCCTACGGGGACTGTTCCCACTCACCTGCTCTGAGCAAGATGACCTGGTCGTCCAGGGGCAGCTCGGAGAAGTGGGGGATCCTCTTGGCCCACTCCACCAGGGTGAAGAGCTGTTTGTCTGCTGCTTGGCATATGTTCGTCACCGGGTCATTGGGCTGCCAAGAAAAGGAGATCGAAAGGCTTGGAGAAGGCAGAGCAAGGAGAAGAGGAGAGGCTGGAGGAGCAGCTGAAGGGGCTTGCTGCCTCCCTGCTGCAGTGTAGGACCCCAGATTTGGAAGCACCCCAGAAGTGGACGTTATCAGTCACAAGGAGAGGAGGTTGACTTGGTTTTTCCACCACGTGATTTTAAATAGTTTTTAGCAAGCCCCAAATCAGGAACCATGAGACCCAATATCCATCACAAGGACTGATGAACCAAACGAGCTCCAGCCTAGGGAAGGGCAGGCTCCCACCCATGTAGCACGCCTGCTCCCCATGCCAGCACCTCTCAGCTCGATAAACCAGCACCAGAGGGGGCATTACAGAAAAAAAGAGAAAAAACCCTTTCCTTTGAAATATTATCCAGTAACAAAAACCATCTGCTCTCAAGGAGGACAGTCAGCCTAAACACACCAAATCCCTGTTTAAAGGAACTGCTAACAGCTCAAGTGGGCTTGTGATTAGGAACTGGAAGAGCCTGCCTAACCCTGGCAAAGACAGACCTTACTAGTACAAGTGTGTACATAGGGTTTACCTCTCTGGACAGGGATGTATGAGCCCCTCCACATATCCCCCTGTAATCCCTGCTGATAGCTAGCAGCTTTGCTTGTACAATTATTTTTCTTCTATGTCCTTAAAAGAGCAGTTTCCAAATCGGAGAAGGAGTGTTTACTTCACCCCTGGACTGCCGGGGGAAGGGGTGTGAATTCAGAGGCAGAGTAGACACAAACGCCAGCATAACCTCTTTCTCCTGCAAGGCTTGCTTTCAGCAGGACAAGGCCATTCCTCATCATGAGCTGGCTGTGCTATGACAAACCCCTCTCCCAGGCTCGGCAGACAACGACCACACTGCTAAATCTCACTCCTGCCCCCCCAGACCCCTGCCCAGTCCCCTCCGCTGTCCCCTGGCAGCAAACACAAACTCTGTGCCTCAGTGGCCAATGTCTCCCATTCTCCAGGCTTAAAATAACCAGCATCTGGCAAGCTCAGGAGCACCTGCCTTCGAAGCATTTTCACCTGTTGTGTGCAGAGATGGATGGGAATGGGCTGGCGTTCAGCAGCGCAGCTGAGGAGCAGGGAGCATCGTTACAGGGATTTTCCCTCCTTGCTCTGCCCATCTCCAGCAGCTCCCTGAGGCATGCAAGGGCAGGGGAGTCTTGCTCTGAGGGAGCTTGGGCTCTTCCCTGGGGACAGAGATGTGAGCAGGGACTGGACTTTTCCTTGGGAGAGGGAGATAAGACAGGATTTCCTCTGGACAACAGGAAAACCCCAAGCTGGGTGTGAGGAGCTTTGCAGGGTTAAGTGTTTCACTGGAAAAACAGGGAACATCGGCACTCAGAGGTGTCTGCAGAAAGGGTGAGAAGGGACACCTGGGGCCTAGGATATGGAAACATCACCATCTTCAAGTCATCCAAGTTTGGTCAGCAAGCTGGAGCAGCCAGGTGGAGAACCCAGGCGTCCCATCTCCCTCAGGATGGGGATGGAGCCCTGCATGCCCCGGAGGGGTCATGGCTTAGGCGAGACCCCATCCTGCAACAGAAAACAACTCACGAAGCAACAGGTGCCTGCACGGCCCCACGAAAGGGGGATTTTAGGAAAGTGAGATGTTTCTGCCAAAGCTTTTATCAGGGATTGCCTCTGGGCAGGTTGTCACTGTCTCTAGGACTCGCCCGGCTGCAGCAAGCCCAGGCTGCATCACCGCTGCACAGGCTGTAGCCAGCCTTTGGTGCTTCGTACAAAGCCTCAGCGTGGGGCCCAGCCTTTGATTACACCTCAAATGGCAGTTCCTGGAACCACCACGGTGCTTCCTGGCAGGACTTAATCGCCATACCTTGGGAGGCAGCTGAAAGTATCATCCCTGAAGCTGAAAGGGTCCTGCCTGTCTCCGGGAGAGGATCTGCGAAGCGGTGCTAGAAACCCTCCCTGAGCAGGGTAAGCAAATCCCCTCCTGCAGTAAATAGCAAGGGCACGGTGCCGGAGTGTGACAGAATGAAAGGACATGCAGGCACCTGATCCTTCTGGAAAACCAGAGCTTGGAGACATCTTCCAGAAAATGGTGACTTGAAACCAGCTGCTCAAAGGCCAATTAAGAGCTAATGGGGATAACGCCTCTCAGTTACAGGCTTTGCCTTTCAGTGGCCAGGAGCCCATCCGAGGTGGTGCTTACACTGCAGGAGCCCAGCTTCACTGCTGCTGGGGACACAGGGCTGAGGCAAACCCATCCCTGCGCCCCATCGTCCTGCCTGGGGACAGGCACCTGCTGAGGGCGTAGGGCCAGTCCCCAGCACCCGAGGGACACGGATCACACGGGGTCTGGGGGCTTTCTGGGGGATGCAGTGTGGAGGGATCCTGCAGCCGGGTAGGATTACAGCTTGTGGGAACCTCCCAAAGGATTTATCCCCTTCTCCACGGTCAGAAGCCAGACAACCATCTCAGTTAGCAGCTATTTGCAGTGGCTGAAGAGCTGTTATCAGGAGCTCACCAGTGCAATTACTTCGAGTGAGTGTTTTCGTGATGGTCATGGAAAAGCTAGTCTTGACACTCTCCTACCACCCAAGGCAGGAGAGCAGATCTGCAGGGGCACGTCCCTCTGTCTTAGTGCTTTGGGCCTGGCTCAGCATCCTTCCCTGTCCTGTCCATGCCACCTGCAAGGTTCACACCCCACTATATCCCCCCTTCCCCATCATGGGCTTCAAACCGTGAACGTACCCATCCTCTCTGGTGCCAACCAAGGTGTCAGGACAGAGCCGTGGGTCCCTGCACACATACTCGGAGCAGCACTTCACCACCAAGAGGCTGCAGACACCTCGCCCTCCCCTTTTACCAGTTCTGAGGACTGTGCTGAAGCCCCACAGTTGTGTCCCACACAGTCCTAGGCGAAAGAAATCAGTGCCAGTGCCAGCCTGGTGAAGCAGAGGGACCTCCCTCAACCGGAGTTGGGATCTCTGCCCTCAGAGCAGCCAAGGCACCATGGCACAAGGTGACAGTCGCATCTGGGAGAGGAGGGTGTGAACTCCTACAGCACCCTGACACCCCATCCCAGCCCGTGTCAGCTCGGTAGAAAGGGCCGTGTAAGTGCTGGAGCTCTGCCTCTCACCAGCAGCATTCACTGTGGATGGGCCAAGGCGCAGGGGCACAACTAAAAGGACCCAACATACCAGGCTAATCGGAACTAAAAAATACATTATTCTTTACCCCATGTCTATTGGGGACTGACTTTGCCTGCCTGTCCGTCGCTCGGGCTCTCTGGGGAGGGCTGGGAGGAGAGCAGCTCCTTCGTCTTCCCTCGGCTCATCCGGTGGCCTCGTCACCACGAGCTGCTGATCTCATACATCTGCTAAACCTGCTACAAATGTCACCTCATCGACAGAAGCCGCTTGACAATAATAGGGCATTTCAACAAGCCTCCTGCTTCTATTTAGATGCAACACACATCCTTGTTCGCAGTAATGCGTGTTGAATTATGCAGGAACCAGCTTTCAATTTGCTACAAGAGGCTGAGGAGACGCAGTGCCAGACGAAGCCATTTATTTCAGCTCGCTCTCTGGGGTTTGTTTTCAAGTCAGCACAACGCTGGCTACAACTCCCCTGAAGTATTTTTAATCCTGATAGCAGTCAGAGCCTCCCCGAGCCCCTCACTAACCATGGCTGAGCTACCTCCTCCAAAAAAGCCCCTTTTGCAGCCTCGTGGCGATGGGACCCTCCGGCCGGGGGGCATCACTGGGGTCCCAAATGCAGGGGAGCACCATGGCCCTGTACCCATTTCTGCAGAGTTTCACTGAGGAGGAATTGGTTCTGTCTGTAGCCAGAAGCCTTACTCCTCACCTAGCAAGTCAGCCTAAAGCCAGCCCTAAAGCCTTAAGCCTCACCTAGCAAGCCAGCCCTAAAGCATCCTCGTAGGTAAAGGCCAAAAAGAGCATCTCATCCAAGGAACGGCCTGACTCGCAGATCTCCTGTCAAGCCCTGCCAGATCAGGTATTCCTGGCTCAATCCTCCCAGCCTCTTAGAAAGAAAGAGATAAAGTATGATTGTAGCAGAAAATAAATACTGCAGAGACTTTCCACTTGCTAGAAATAGCTGCATTTCATCATCCCAACCTCAGAGACACCTAGCACAGAGCAATAGGAAATGCAGAGGGATATTTCAGCGTAGGATCCTGCTCTCCCGGCTGAGCCAGCCTGCACGCTGGCAGAGCCAGGCAGCCAGGGGATGCTCCCCAGTCCCCAGCAGCAAGGCTGGCAAGAGCTACCAGGGTCCTGGGGTTAATTTAGCCCCTCCGCAGCCCTGATGACACCAGCAGCGGCCCTTCCTGCTACCAGAGCATGTGGGCTGGGCTGTGCCTGCCAGAAGGCATCGCCGTAAGGTAAATGGGAAATTAAACACGTGCAGCTGACCCCGGCCCCAAAAGCACACGCACAATAGAGCACGGCAATTTTTTTAAATTTTTTTTTCCTCTCTCCCTCCATCTCTTTGCTTTGAGACTTCCCAGACCCTCAGGGCTCCCCCGGTGTACCCAGGGGTGAGGGTATTTAGCCCCACTCCTGACCCTACTGCTATGCTAGTTGCCCCAACTGCTGTCCCATCTGTTCGAGGCATTCCTCTATTCCCACCGCTTTCAGGGGAACAGGGGCTGTCGAGGAATGGGGACTGCATCCTAAATGCTGCCTCGGCTGGGCAGCAGCTACTCGCTCTGCCACAGGGCTCTATGAGGGATCTGCATAGAGTCTCTCCTAGAAACAGAATTTCAGAGGGTAGGTTGGCTCTCACATTTGGAGGCAGCTGCTTTGCAGGGAGGCTTTCTCTAAGCAAGGCTATAGCCTGCAGATAAGGGAATCTCTTAGGAAAGGGACCAAAACGGTTTCCCTCACCACAGCTTCTCACTCTTTTCCTATTTCCCTGTCAGCTATCTCTTGTTTACACAAGGTCCTGTTAGAGCCCAGATGCTTCAAGCAGGCCCTAAACGCAAGCTTCTAAATGGGAAAGGAAATTGAAAGCAAACTTCTCACCGAACTTCTCCAGATTTTCTCTTCTTAGAGCCAAGCAGCTTTATAATTCTGCATCTGAAAAGTCCCACCCTAATTTTACAGCTCTTATCTCTTTGCACTTCAGCCACACCAGTCTGTTTGTCGGTTTGACTGGACTCTGAGCTCTTCAGAGCATGGAGGATCTTCCTGCCTTTTAGCATATGGGTTGTTAACTAAAATAAAATCATTTCTGTGAGCCCTTCTCATCATGCCCTACAGTATCTGTTCCTTCCCTATGGCTGTGAGACAGGAAAGTACCAGTGCTGGTGGTTGTGCAGGGGCAGAGGGGTTTGCTTTCCTCCTGCTTTCATCTAAGCTCACACACGGTGTCTACAGCAGAGCTAAGAAGTTGCATTTCTGAGCTCTATTTCTTTTCCCACAGGATAACCCCTCTCTGACCTAGGCTCGCTGCTGTATGCTAGGTCAGTCCTGACTGCTAGGTCAATCCTGGCCAATCCTGGGGCCAAGGGAAGCGCTGCCTTACCGAGCTCGGCGTCAAGCCCATATTTGCTTCGATGTACGTCTCTGTCTTTGGCTCCACTGCGAGTTCAGCTTCCAAGATCTTTTCCACGGGCATGTCCTCATTGGCGCTACTTGTTGACTCCACCTCGTTCTCGTTGCGGTCCTTCCCCCGCTGCCTCTCCTCCTGGACAGCTGGAAGTGACAGAGAGGGGACAGTGTCAGTCTTGGGCCCCTGGCCATGATGTTATGAGCTGAGCTGGGATCCTGAAGCTCCACGGAGCTACTGAGCCATGAAAACCTAAAGCATCCTCAGACCTGTAGGATCACACAGACATCTGAGGTCTTGCTCTCCCACCTGACCTTGCCACCAGTGTGGTCAGTGGGTCTAGGGCTTGGATAGTCCAAGGGGGTGTGAGGTTTGGAGAAGACACCGAGCAGCCCTGGCCTGGGAGAGCTGCTCCTAAGAGCACAGTGAGGGAGGCTCCGGCTTAGCCCTGGACTCTGCTGGGAAAACCCTCTTTCTGCAGAGGGAGAGGTCCTGGGAACAAAAAAGTTAAAGACACACAATGAAAAGAAAAAGAAGCGACACAGCGAGTCACTGGGGGAGAGGGAAATGGATGGGTGAAGCGATAGTACAAGGGAATCCTAAAGAAAAGATAAATCGGTCAGCTTAAAGTGTAAATCCAGAGTACAACCATCTTCTGAGCCAGGCAGGGCTGAATGTCCGTGGGGGTCATGTCATGCACCGAGTTCCCCAGTCCAGCAGCGATGGCACCGGCTGCCACCAGGCTCCCGCGGGACAGGTGCCGGGAGCAGGGACCTGCCGGCGCAGCTCTATGCAAACCACCATCCCGCCTTTGTCTCGGGGCAATTTCTAAACAGACAGGAGAGACCTGTCCCAAATCCTGTGTGGTAGGAGTAATCTAGCCAGAAGCATGTGACATGCCGATGAGTTAATGTCTGAGCAGTAAGTAGATGAAAAACACCTACTAGATGCTAATAATAAGGATCTCCCTTTGAAACGAGCACACAGGCTTTCCCTAAACCTAGAAAGTACCTTTAAGCAGTTACACCAGCAACTATCTCCTTCTCAATCATCACGTTACCTACCCTAAATCACACGCTTTTCCACGCACCGTTGTTTCCCACAACATGTTTTAGCCCAGTCTAGTTGAGAACAGCCCAAGAAACAGGAGTTTCCATCACTGGTCATGAGAGACAACTCCCTGAACTTACCCAGCGCTTTGTTGAGGACTGAATGAGGCATTCAGTAATGTAAAACGCCTGCTATTTATTGACAATTATCCCAACACTTTACCTCTCTGCTGAATTTGAAGCTGGTTATGTGATGTTAAGAGAAAGCAGCAGGGGTGCAAGTATTGTTCTAGGGAAATCAGAGCTGTCTGTAACACAATAAGGCTTTTCAAGCCATCAGTGGGACCAGCTCGACGCAAAGTGCAAAAATAAAACCTAGAATATATAAACTTATTTCTTAAAAAAAAACCCCAGGAAATTAAGACACACGGGAGAAGAGTCCTAGATGGACATTGATCCCATTAACCCAGCTCGCCAAGGCCTGGGGCTGATTTCCACTCCCCTCCCGCAGCACCGTTGCTGTTTGCTGCACGTCAACACTGTTCAGACTCCTTCCATGTAAAAGCTGTTATGCAAAAAAAAAAAAAAAAAAAAAAAAAAGCAAGAGGTTATTTTTTGCAAACTGCTCTTAAGTTTATGGGCTGCAGAGGCTCCCGAGGCCCACGCAACGTTTTTCTGCTGGGTCTGCCAGAGCAGGTAAGCTGCTGCTGCTGTCAGAGCTCAGATTTGTGTCGTGGCTTTTGTCCATCTGGCTCTTGTCTGGCACAGATTCTTCTCTTCACTTTTTCAGGCCAACATAAAATCCTGCTTAAATTTCTTCCCCCACCCCTACTCCTGCTTTCTCAATCATCAGAAAGCTAGAAATTTTTTGCTTAATGCCAACCCTCCTTCAACAGCACAGATGCACCAAAACTCCTCTGGGCACATTAGAAGAGATAAAACACCTACTAAATAACAGAAAAGCCTAAGAGAAAGGCAAACCCTCAACAAATGGGATTTTATAAAATGACTTAAATGCCAAAGACCTGATGCACAGTCACAGGAGGTCTCAAGGATAAAGGTGCAAAGCGTGTTTCCTTGCTCTGAGATCAACCACCCCCGCTGCCGGGGCCACTCCGCCGGGAAGGGGTGTTAGTCCAAAAAACACATCCTCTTGCTCAGCTGCCAGTGGCTTAGCTGGACACTGGGATTTGTGGGAAAGCAGTGCAGAGGTCTGGGGAGACAGGGGCTACTTAAAGCCTGAAACCTGCAAATCTCAACCTCATCAAAACCAACAGTCACATTCTTGGGGGGGGAGGTGAAGAATCAGAGAAACACTTGAAGGGTTCTAGGAGAGGGAATTTTACAGGTCCTCACGACAGCGTTTGCTAGCGATGAGGCTGAATCTAGCTGATATAAACAATAGATGGAAGAGACAGATGGAAAGAGATTATGGATGTTGGTATTTATTTCTATTGATCTGTGCTTTGAGCTGTTACACCAGCAAGTCGGTGCTGCTGCTCGCTGCGGAGCTGGTCAGCAGAGAGCTGACTCATCCCAGCCTGCCCAGCCCCACGCCAAACGCTTGACTCTCGCCCCTGCCCAGCTGGCTGCCGGCAGCAATGACACCCCAGCCAGAGCAGATGGCGCATTCTCACCGAGTATGTCAGGTCCAAAGATAAACCTTGCCACGGAGAGCATCACCTGCTTTGCTACCCCCGTGTTTCCAAGACCAGACGGCCCTCTCTAAAGCCAGGATAAGCCTGGCATTGCTTTGCGATCCTCCCCGCAGCTTGGATGACCTCCATCTATCCATCCATCCATCCATCCATCCATCCATCCATCCATCCATCCATCCCTCCATCCATCCATCCATCCATCCATCCACCCACCCATCCCCTGCGCCTGGCTCTCTGAGCTGCAGAGACCGTTTCAGAGATGCTGTTATCCTCCCTTCCCCCTGCGAAGCTGCTTCATGCACAGGTCTTCACCAAGGCGTGCATCTGCGGGAGGAGGTGACTGTACCACGTGAAGTTCAGCTGCTGCTGGCTCACAGGACCCACGTCACCAGGTATTTATGAACCCGATGTGGCAATGACCGAGGACACCTGCCCAGCCCTGGTTGTCGGATGTAGCTTTTGGGGATGCCCAAGAGGCAGCGACTCCTCTAGATGCTGCCTCAGTTGTAGATGCTATTTTCTCTCCCTATGGGCAGCTCAAGGAATGAAGTGGGAGCAGCTTCATCCTGAACATGAGCAACAGATCGGGTCCTGCAGCAGCTCTGCGCCTGGCACTGGGGTAAGCTGCCACTGCACACATGAGCTCCCCTCCAACGGTCACCTTACGGTCACCTCCTTCTCCCTGGTGTGGCACACTCAGAGTCCCTCTTCAGGATGCAGAGGATGAATTCATCTCAAATCTAGCGTCTCCGCTTTCCTAGTTTCAGCACCATACAGCTCCAGGGGTGGCAAGCCCAACACAACGTCCCTGAGAGGGATCTGCAGTTTGGCTTTCAAGACTCCTGTACTCTGTGGGTTCCAAGACTTGAACTTTCCTGCAGATGCAGCCACCCCTGCAGTCGGTGCCTCAGAAGCTCAGCAGAACGGAGAGGACATCCAAGATGCAAGGAGCAGGCGAAATTGTCTAAGAGCTGCCAGTCATACAGCTTCTTAGCAGAGTCCTCCATGTCTCTGATCTCCACTGGCATAAGCCCAGGGACAGATGTCTGCAATTCACTGCCACCAGTATTTTCCCAGACCTGCTGAGACCTGACAAGCTGGTGCTCCTTCTTAGGAGTGATGCTGAGGGACACATCACCATTGCACCAAAGAATGGGGACTGTGTTTCCTGAGATGTAGGAAAAAATAGCAGGTGGGGTAGGAGGAAAGCAAAAAGAAGCAAGTATTCAAGCAAATGAGCTTTTTTTTTTTAAAAAAAAAGTCATGCAATATGGGATGTTTGTGTGAAGGAAAATCTTCAGCATATAAACCCTCACCATAAAGACCTAGGACCTCATCTCTGGAGTCCACTCCCCACTCCCACTGGGGATTAGTCAAATAAACCACGGTGGAATGACAAAAATGCATTTTTCAAATGGATTTGGTTTGGAAGCTGGGGTTTTTTTGTGGCTTTGGTTTCTTATCTTTTTTTTTTTTTTAAATACAAATGTGGTAGCTGCATGGCAGCTTGTCTGGTAATACTGAAACAGGAATACCTTGTTCTTCTCGGCTTCCCAGAAGTCTTGCGTGCTGGGATGGATGGTGCTCCATCCCTGTAACACAGTAAAATTTAGAAACAAAGATCCTTATATCATTTGGCTCTTGTTGCTTCTGCTGGATTTTTCTCTTCTTTTCGTGTATGTTGTAAACTCACAGGTTAAAGACAAAAAACCACTGGGGTTCTGCAACTGGCTCCTCCAACCCAAATTCTCCTTTGTGGCACAATCAATGTATATTTAAGAAAAAAAAAATTATTCTCAACTCTAGACAGGCCACAAGATGCTTCTCCCTCCTGTCTTGCTTGTGATGCTTCGCAGGATTAGCAAGGACAGGACACAGCGTGGCATTTCAGGGGAGCTGGCTCTGCTGTAGCTCCCTTGCTCATCACCGATGCCCCGCTCTGCACCGCGCCCTTCTGCTCAGCTGGGTGGGTCAGGAGACATCCAGCTTCTCTCCAAGAGGACCTTGGGATGAGAATTAAACGACAGAGCGGCTGCGATAACAAGGCACTTGGCAGCAAATGACCTACAAGGGCCTTTCCAAACCTCAGGTGGGGCTGTCTTGCTCTTACTGCAATAGGATGGTGACAACGAGGTGAAGGGCTGGAGAACACCTCCCCGGCTGCTGCTCACCAAGGTGAGGGAAAGGCTGACCAGGGCTCGGCAAGACCAGTATGACCCTCGTGTGTCCCATCACACTCAATTACTGCCTCAGCAGACGGGCTCATCCGGACAAACTATGGGGCTTGTCTCGGATGGAGGTGGGGAAGCCATCGAACGAGCCCGTGTCCTGGTCCTTCCACCTCACCGCTCCAGCTGCGGGTGTTTGATGAGACCCACTCTTAGAACTGTGCTGTTCCCAACGGTGCAGATTTTTCTCGCTTGCTGCAACACAGACAAC